CCCCTTTCACTCTCAAAAGTGACGAAGTGGAAAATAAATCACGTGGTCTGCCTGGTGCTGACGGACAGATGAAGATGTCAGGCGCTAAAAGGTGCTTCCCTGCACCACAAGGCCTCAGCGCATTTCTGCATGTGGCTCATCCTGAAACTGTGGGCTGAGTTGGGAGATTTTTGGTTTTATTACATGCTGGTTTTAATATGCATCTGCTTTACTGTACTAATTTACACGACTGTGTCAATTTTTTTCAAAACGGAGAAAAACAAGTTCTTTGGTAAAAATTCTTTACGTGGCGCTATAAATCAGTTTATAACCACCACAAAAGCAAAAGACTCTTACAGCGTAGTGTCCCATACCTACTGTCACCTGTTCCTTAAGTAAAACCTGCCACGTGGCTGACAAGACATTCCTACGTTGGAAAAAGCAATGCCTCTGGGCTGAGCTGCTTGTTACAGGGACCCTCGGCACAGGTGGCCCTCAGGTTGGACAGGACGTTGGGGATCTCCTCTTTCCTGACGTCCCCCGAGGTCCCCAGCCTCTAAGGCACATGACACCCAGCACAAAAGCATTTCTTAAGAAACATCTCACTCAACTTCCAAACATTTTAGGGGTTCAAACATGAGTGGATCTGCCTCACATGGGCATACAGTCTGTCCTTATCAAACTCACAGAAAAGCGGCTGTTCCCAGCACGACACAGGGCCCTCTGTACGAAGAAAAATTCATAAAAGGAATAGTTAGGCTCTCCTCGAACAACCAGCTTATTTTTAGGTTGTCCGTAAGGAAACTGTTGACTCAGAACCAAATCCAGAATCTCCGCTTCATGCAAAGCCTTACCCACAGCTGCACCCTACTTTGCTATCCTGTATTTTCATTCACTCTTACTTTTCCCCTTCCGTTTTCACTTTGTTACATGCATTTTTGCAGCTACCTTAAATCTTTCTGGAATAGGTGGAAGAGAAATGAGCAAACAGTCAGACACCTAAACATCTAAAAAAATTATAAGGAAAAAAAAAAGGGAGGGTACCATCATCTGGAACTAAAGTATAAGATGTTCAGGAGAGAGAAGACATTCTTTAAAAGAAAACTAACAGCCACTAAAAGTTCTGACAAGGAAACTTAGGAACTGGGGCTTTGGGACAGAATCTAGAGAAATCAACATGGCCCTGCAGCAAGTCCTCCCAGGAGAAGATCTTAAGGGCATGTAACTGAGGGAGACACACCAATAAGAATATCGCCAGGAAAGCATGAGCCCATGAGCTGCCATTTATCACAAGTAAGGACAATTTAAAAAGTGGTTTGCCAACCTTACTATATGCAGGTTGCAGAGTGTGACAAACCAGGTACCCACCATTTTATTCCATCTACTCTTTCAAAGAAAACCATCCTCAAACCCTAAGGAGTGAATAACATGGTGGGGAATTTGAGGGGCAAGACAGGTGAGGAGACGGCTGGAGCAGCCTGGTGCTTTCAAGCGCAGTCGGTGTCTGGAGGGCCACCGGGCGCAAAAGATAAGTCAGTGGTCTCTGAGAAACATCAGTGGACAGGAGGTTCCAGGGGACTGAACAACAGAAAAAAATCATGTCCTCAAAAAGGGATAATAAGATAGTTATTGATCTGTGGCCTGGAAGTGATATCCACTAGAATTTGAAAGCATATTATGAGTCAGAAGACTTGCGAGCACTCAGAAAAGACGGCGATCACTGGAGTCAGCAAGGCTTCCCAAGAGCGTGACAAGTTAACATCGGTCCTATGTTGTTTCTTCTTACGAGAGCAATAGGTGCTATCACAGAAAAAGGAGACACCTCAAAGAAACAAAAAGAAGAGCAGGAAAATCCAGTGAAAACCACTATAAACACCTTGGCATGTACCTTCCCAGACCTTTAGATATATTTCTTAAAATGAGATCACACTGCACGTCCTGGCTGTCACTTAACAGCATTCACGCACACCTTTTTATCTGAATCGGAACTACTTCTGATGCTTGAAAAGTTAAGGCCACCGTATGGATGTTTCATAATTTAACCACTTGCCTTTATTTTAGACATTTATGATATCCACCCCCCCACCCCTTTTTTGGGTATTATATTTAAAAAGCAGCAGTGCTCGCCCTTGTGGATAAATCTTTTCTGCACATCTGTATTTTCCAGAAGAAATTCCTGGAAGAGGAAGTGTGAGGATCAAAGGTGTGCTTCATGGCCATTTTGATGAGGGTACAAGATGGCAGAGAAGGGAATAAGCTTCTCAGGATTTCAGCACGATGTTCCTCACCCCAATTCTGTGGGCAAGAGAGAACTACCCACCGGCTGGACAGTGCAGAACAGTCGGCATGCAACGCTGACGGCGCGCGTGGTACCCCAGATGGCTGGATGGATATGAACATACAGTAAGACAGCCCCGCTGAACACGGGAGCACCGTGCAGAGATGGGCTGGGCTGCTCAGAGATGGTGGCCCAGACACTGTATGGCTGGAGCAGCAAATCAGGACGATCCCCTGCCCCAGGGGTCATAGAGGGTACTCCCAGGCAAGGCAGACACTAGGCAAAGTGCTTTCCTTCCACAACCATTTCACGAGCACCTCTGTGTGCTGGGGACAGAGCTACATGCTGTGTCCGCCGGTCTCTCAGCAGCTCTGAGCAGTGCCTCTCCCTCTGCAGGCAGGACAGAGAGGAACTGTCTCAGTGAAAGGTACAGAAGGAATATATGCCCTTGGGAAGACAACACTTAAAAGTACATATTACTTTAATAACCACACGTACAAATTAAATGTGGGCTGCTCTTCAAACTTCTAATAACATTGTTTGGAAACCTACTTATCTTAGGAAGGGACCGCAAGCAAGGGGCGCAGTCGTCAAATGGTTTCAGGAATGAAGCAGAGCAGACCAGGATTTCGCACCGGGGGCTCAGTGCCTGACGCCCGCAGCGAACGTGTGCAGAGTTGCTTCGGGAGGAGAAGTTTGGCGACTCGTTCCACTGCCAGCAGAGCCGCCAGACATCCTAGCTTTGGGCACTGTGCACGGGCTGGGGGCTGGGGCACATGTTGCCCTGACTGTTTTGGGAGTGAACCACTGAAACCTTAGCTTCGCAATACCAAACTGAGACACGCCACTCAGTGCCAAATACTGTTGGAACAGGGGGCGCAGGGGGGGGTGGGCGGTCTCTGCTCCCTTTTAGCCAGAATGGCTCGCAGGTAGGCTGCCGCTGGGCAGCCTTCCCAGCTGCACGCACCACGGCCGCGCAGTGCTGAGTTTGCAGGCCTTATGGAGCCCGCGGGTCCCGCAGGGCACGCCTGGCAGCATCACAACAAAGCAGTCCTGGACCCTGGCGGGGCAATTTGGTGCTGCCACCGCCGAGGAGGCCCGAGCTGCCTGCTGCCCTGGGCCACAGCCTCAACTACCTCGGTTTGGAAGATAAAATCCAATTGACTGCCACTTACGCAAATGTAACAGGAAGTTTCTGAATGGCTTCCCCTGCATCTTGAGACTGTTACCTCGGTATTGCTAAACTAACAGCTGAAATGAACCCAGACAACACCTCATCAAAGCCGCGGGGTGAGGAAGCAGTGGCCCAGAGGCAGACAGGAACATTCCTGCCAAACCAGAGGAGATTTCACTCTGTGGGCCCTTCTCTGCAGAAACGTCAACAGCTGGGAAAGCCATCAGAGAATCCAGGTAAGGTGGGGGCAGCCGAACCCCGTGGCTGGAAAAAGATTTGTGAGCTGGAGGGGAAAAAAGTCATCTGCTTTGATTGAGCTTTCCTTATGTGCATTCGGAACGGGGCCGCCCTGCTGGATTTCACAGACCTATTTTGCACCACTCTGCCACTAGGCATCTGGGGAAATATTCAGCTTTTCTACAAAATAGGTCATCTTTCCACACTTGTTATGCTCCTTGTCGACTCTGCTGAAATAGCCAGAGCACAAAAGAAATTCTCCCTGGAGATGCTTCTCTTAGACAACACGTTCCCGCTGCCCTGGGGAGCTTGGCTCCTGGAGAAAAGCCAGGATGAGGGCTGTGAGAACATCTCTGTCCTTCCCCTTCCCCTTCCCCAGCAGGAGCACCACCCAGAAACGGAACGACTGGCCTTTGTTTATACTTCCAAACCTATTAGGGAGGGATCATAACAAGAAAAACTAATACTGACACGAATTATACCATTGTTCTATTTCATCTATTTAGTAGCCTGAAGTTGCAATTTTTAGAAAAAAGATCACCTTTCAAATAACCGATTCATTATGGTACATGAATGAATGCCATGTTCCCGTGTTCAAAACATCACTCACCATTAAGGGTATGTGCTGGTAAGTGGCACCGATTTGCCATTTCCCCCTTATATACAAACGCCCCCCAACTGGAGGCCCCGTATAATCAGAGTCAAGTTTGTGGGTCTCCTCAGCTCTTAGCAAGTCACCTGCCCTGCCAGGCACCTAATGAATCTCAATTCTGTAATAAGGCTTGTAAGTTTTTTGAAAAAGGAAACCAGGACTGACCAAGTTCCTGCCAAGGTAACACCATCCATTTCAGGGCCGAGTGCAGAAATCACAGACTCATACGATGGGGCTGGGGGTGGGGGAGACGCCAGCACACCCGCTGGTCACAGACCTGGCTTTGAGAAATGAGAGATGAGGACAGACGTGGATATGGAGGGCAGGCGGCACAAGGCCTCAGGTCTGTGGGGTCCCCAGTCCCCGCGGGGAACCTGCCCTGGATCTGGCAGGTGAACAACGTGGTGACTATTCTCTGGAAACCTCCCTTCAAGCTTGTGAAATGCACACATTGTTTTTCATCATTAGTTTCAAAACATGCTGAGGATCTGGCCCTTCACTAAGCGCTACGGCGACACAGAGGAAAGGGAAGGCCTGGTTCCTGCAGGGAACAGGCCCCCTGCAGGGGTAAAAAGAGAGGTAAGACACACAGATGCCATTAGCAGCCAGGAAGCACGTAGAGGGAGGCGGTGCCTGGGACACAGACGCGCTAGCTGGCCCTTCGCAGTGGCCACACGTACCTGATATGGCATACAGATTGGAGTGCTGGTACCCACAGTCAGCCCGAGTGCTGTTCCTGCCTCGGAAGGTAGCAGGGAGCGTGAGAGAGATGTGCCTGAGAAAGACAGAGGAGAAAAAGGAGGTTACAGGGTGCACGGAGCAGTCCCCAAGGCTCAGAAAGCACAGGCGCCACCAACAGCCCACAGAACACAGAGCCCGGGAAGCAGGCAGTCCTGGGGACCTCCGCCTTCTCAAGCAGGACTTGAGCTGCCCCACCAGCTCGAGTCCCCCTAGGAACTCAGAAGTTTCCAGACATCAGTGGCCACTTTTTTCCATACAAGGAAGGACATCCAAGAGGAAGAAAGGGTTTCCCAAGCCTTAAGTGACGTGGCAGGTGCCCCGAGGAAGTGGGTGATTTAATCTTGATCTCTACCCACTGGGCAAAGTGCACCAGTGGGACCAGGATGCTCAGCTCTGAGCGCAGGACTTGGTTTGCTCTGTTGTCTTGGTCCCATTACCCATCCAGTGGCTTCCACGCCTGTCCCGCGGGGCTGTGGAGGGTCACAGCCCAGGAAGCACTTTGTGAACGAAGGCGTTAGGTGTTATTAGCACGTGTGTCCAGGAAACGAACGCCCACTGAGAACCACAATGGCACGTTCCCCTGAACTGCTGTGTCCGCACGTCCCCCTCAGGTGGGAGCATACAGTAGGTGCTCAGAAAGTACCTTCCATCGACCCAGCTCGTCTTTTATGGTGCAGGCGTTGGCCATTAAGGCCCACGCTGCCCACACATAAGCAGGTATCGACCAAAACACATAAACCACTTGTCGTGGTCATCA